AGTATGATTGGTACGATTTTTATTTGAGTTTGTTTTCAGGCACGTTTTCATATTGCATATCTTCTATGATCATTGGCCATCGCTCATTTCAACCTGGAATTTTTCGGGGTACTGTTTTTTGAATTGTTGTAATGCTTTGTTTCAGCCGCAGTGCTCCAGATGCTGGCTCATTTCAAAAATAACTTTATATTTGCTTAGCATTTCAGCAAAAACTAGCTGGGCCTCTAGCGCTTTCTGTTCTTCGTTACTGCTACTCGTATTTCAATTTAGATAACGAGACAACAAAACATTCGTCTTTGCTCTGTACAAATTATGAGCATGACGCACCTGTATGTAACCTCTTTGTTTCCTAGGAAACCAATTTTCAAAACTTGCCTACTCTAACACTTTTTCATAATAAGCAAATTCTTCAGAGACATACAAAGCTTTTATTCATACGAAATGGAGCTTTTGCTCAATATCATGTACTAGACTCACTTTGCTCCGGAGCAAATGCTTCAAAGCAAATGCTCATTTTTAATCATATGTGCTTTAATCATTTTTGATATGAACAATCCTGATGAATACTGCATTGCTTTGTTTGTGGCAGTAGCTTGTATATTGTCTCTTGTCTCATTGACTGACTGCTTCAAGCTCCTCTTCAAAGACACAAATATACTAGATTTGTTAGACATCTGTGGCAACACCGGCACAGACTGCAGTAATCTGATTGAAAATCTTTCTGCGCCAAGCAATTAGATCTCATCGATTGCCCAAGGATTGCTGTCTCAAAAATGTTATGAATACTTCTTCTATTATCCATACTCAGTCTCAGAGATTTTGCGAGTAAATATCTGAAAGTATTGTTTATTATCAACCAAATGTTTTTACAAATTTTGTTATAAGTTGTAATTTGATACCCAATGAAAGGAAGGATTACTTGTGATGTTAAATGTAATGCTCAATGGAAAATTCCTGTCTGAAGAGGCTAAATGATTCTTCTCCTTTGTCACAATAATTAATGCAATATTCGTAATTAGAATCATAAATTATCTTGATTTAATGCTGGATACAATTTGACAATTGATTAATTATTAATGTGATGCAATCATGTTTGTTTTTTATAGTATTAAAAAATGTTTGAAGAATATTATTGATGTATTTCATTAATGATGTGTGAGAAGAATGATGGTAAGCATTGTACATGCTGATTTTGTTCCAGACTCTGAGAACGAAATGTCCTGTAATGGTGGATCGAATGTTATCATCTGCACCTATTGTAAATCGTCCTGGCCTGTCTGGTTTGGAAAGTTTGAATCTAATAGTAAAACAGCCATGGGATCCTGTAGCTTCAAGCCTCAATGAACATAAGCCAGTAATTTACTTTCATTATTTCTGTAAAATTTTACTGTGTGATTTTGAAATTTCCATTGTCATTTATTTTATTTTCTTTTTTCTCCAGCAAAAACTGCCTGGCAATCCCGTTATTGTGATGGTACCTTGTGCACCAATGAATGGAAACTTTCAATCACCCAGACTGAAACAGTGGGAATCATACTTTGCGTCACTCGGTTCAGTTGTTCCAGTTATTGTCAAAACAGGTATTTACTACTTTCTTTCGAAGGGAGAAAAATAATACTGTGGATAATAATGTGGATTAGCTGGAAGCTGTTAATGTAATGAAAAAGATAGATGTGAGATGTGTTTGTAATCTCTGCAGAACTGCATTATCATTCTAGTTCACCCATTGGAGGCCAAAGACAGGTACTGCCAGTCCTCTGCCACCTGATGTCATTCTGACTGAAGATGGGCAGTGCCCATCCTGTACTTTTTTGTAGTATTTCCATGTTTTCCCGATAAATGGCTATCATGTCTTTATTAAGGAATGTGACTTGTAGCTTGTTCCTTGCTCAATACCAATTTTTTTCTTCCAATATTTTATTCTCTCTGAATGTTTGTGTAAACATGCAGGATCATGTTGACTACTGGCATGGCTTCTGCAAGGCATTTGGAATTAAATATTTGTGGAGTCACTAAAGTTAGTTGAGTGGGTGACCAAGTTTTGAGTGACAGTGATAAGGAATTATATAATGATGAAACAAGTAGTTATGTAAGCCAAAATAATTATTATTTTATATAGTTATTGTTGTTTGATGCAGTGGTGTGCTGCTGGAATAAAATCGACAATAGGAGCCATAAAATTTATTTTTAAAATTTGCCTTGAATGTGTTGATGTTCTTTGGGGTTTCCAATAAGTATTACGATTATAGCTGTACCGCTCGCAAAACAACATCCTAACGAACATAACATTCCTGAAGTCTTAGAGGCTCCTCTCACTGCAGTATAAGGGGAAATAGCAGGAGAGGTGGAGGAGAAAGAAGGAAGTAAGATGAAATAAGGATATAATGATGAAAGTAGTAAGAAATATACTCAGTGAGTGAAAAATAATTATATCTTTTTTGTTTAAATATTAAGTACAAGTCTTTTCATTTTCTTGTTTATTATACTACTGAAAATGTGAAGAAAAAATTGTCAATTCAAGATGAAATGAATCTCCGAAAATAATCTAAGGTTTTTTATATATATTTTTTAAGTATATTGAAGTATATTGCTTATATAAGATTTTTAGTATTTGTGTGCAATGCACTTATTGTATTTTAGGAGTCAATGTTTATTTCCTTTGACTGTTTTGGGTGAGCAACATGTAATTTGTGCTTCGAACCCTACATCTATTATTTTTCTTTTTATAGCCAAATATTCCTCTCATGAAATTCAGAAAGATCCCAATAGATAGAGACAGTTGATGACTCATGGCTGAATACACTTCAAAAATAAAGAGCCATTGAACAAATGTGCAGATAGTCTGAAAGTGTTAATCTACCAAATGGCTTTTGTGTAATTGCTAGAAAGATTCCAAAAATGTTTCTTATTTTTACAGAGGATTCTGTTATTTTTGTTAATAGGTCCTGACATGTACAAAACTCCACTTACAAACTGCCTGGATCAGATGGTGTGCGCTTCACGTGTGAAAGTAGCTCAGCTGCGAGCTGACTATCCTGGAAGGCATATTATTCTTGTGGGTTGGAATGCTGGCTCTGCCATTGCGGTGCAAGTAGCGCTTGTGGAGCAAGTGAGTGCAGTGGTCTGTTTGGGATTTCCTGTGTTCACTGTGGAAGGTAGACGGGGAGAGCCTAACGATACCTTATTGGATCTGCGGTGTCCAGCTTTCTTTGTGATTGGTCAGAATGCTGCTTCTGTCAGGTTAGTTGAATACCTGTTTGTTTCCATCCTTATTTTATAAAAGTGTGCTAAACCCTTATGTTATTGTTTCCAGGCAAGAAGATATGGAGGATATCCGGGAGCGAATGCGAGTCGAAACAGGTTTAGTTATTGTAGGCTCTGCAGATGATTTACTGCGTGTTGGTCATACTAAGAAGCAGAGGGAAGGACTTACCCAGTCAATGGTAGATCGTTGTATATTGGTGAGTATTTGATACAGTTTAATTTTTATTTTCAACAAATACCATTTCACTATTCATCATAGTGTGCTAAGTTTCAATGTTTATTTGAAGCCCATTGTTACAAGTGACATCAATTCCACTCTTAAACTCGTACTGGAAGAAAATATCGAAAGGAGGGTAGAGGGTAGTATGTATGTGTAGTATGAATTTTTTTTTGTAATTTAACTAGATAGAAAATGGATAGAAAATAAGAAAAGCATGAAACTGCGGTGATACTATTAAGTAATATAGTGTGTGGAAAATTCTTCTTGTATGTGACATGTTTTCCTCCGAGGCAATTAATCGACCGTTCCACACAATAAAAAGAGAGACGAGGCAAAACGCAGCCACCATCATCTGAACACGCGTTAGTGGCGAAGTATCTTGGTCCTTAATAATGTGACATGCTCCAGCCAACAATAAAAGAATTGCCTTTTGAATATTTTTGTCAAGAATGCATAAATAAAGCTCTATATAAGATAATTTAAACAACATTAGAACAAAACAATGTGAAAATAGTCATAAATAAATGAAAAGATTACCGAGGAATCCTCTACCAGCACGTGGAATTGAAAGCTCACTGCCCATTCTTGGTGACACAACCAGCTGCAGCAGTTTGTATTCTTTTACAGCACAGTGTTACATACTTCTGTTTCATTTGGAGAATCTTGACTGTTCAGCAATTCTGGCCATACATGGTAAAATGTCCTTTGAACTCAGTGAATTTGTTAGTGAAACATTGCAGTGAGTTTGAATAAACTTTGATTCTTAGATGTTTTACCAAGTTTGTTATGTAATGAGTTTTTTTAATTGCCATGCATTATGGAAACACTTAACAAAGATATTGTAGTACAGTGAGACAAAAAACCTGTTGCATGAAATGAAATTTGGCAATGCAGAAAGACGAACCCAGTTCTCCATTATTAAAATACCAAAAAGAAATGAAGTTTACACCAGGCACTTTATGCTGTTTAGTTCTATGGTATGTAGGTTTAGGTTGTGAATATGAAATAATGAGATACAGGAGGCTGTAAATAGAAGAGGAAGGCACATATAAAATATCTCAGAGATACAGATCTTGTGTTTGATTGAGTATTCTACTGCATCAAATGATATAACAAGTGTCAAAAGGAGGCCACAACAAGACAGCTGGGAAGATACATAGCTGATTTGGAGAATGGAATATATGAGTGGTAGGGAGAGGATTATTATCCCATACAAATCTTGAAATATACTTTTAAAAATATGCATTTATGACCTAAAAATTCTTAAATATGAAATTAAAATTAACAATATATAATTTACTGTATACACCTTCCTTAATAAAACTCAGAAGCATGCTTGAAATGAAAACATCTATTTTTATACAAAAATAATATAATCTACCTTACTTCACAGGAGAAATAATTGAAGTAAATATTCAGTTTAGTGAAGTATGTTGTATGTTTTATCTGCCTTGTTTAAATAATATGATATGAAATATCCTACATTTGCACAAGTATTTCATCATTAAGAGGCGCATTTTGATGACCTAAAACATTGCCAAAAGTGATCAATAAAACTACTTCAGATAAACATCTCAAGCTCTTGGATATGTAATAAAGTCTTCTTCCTTTTGTTCATGTGAACTCAGCTTGCAAACTTTGGGTTTGGACTGTTTGTTAGAAGAAAATCTCTGCATTTATTTATCGCGAAATCAGCTAAACTGGCCATGGCAACGATAAACTTCACAGGCACCTTGGATTACGTAGTATTCACGACTGACATTACAATATATGAGCACAGAAATCTAATGGGGTGCTCAGGAATTTTGTGGTGAACATTTGTTGCATTGTGTAAATATTCTTTGAAGTTAGTTCCATTAAAATGATATTGAAATTGATGAATTCTATACTGTAAAAATGACATCAAAAGGTAAAACTTGACTTATTAGTCAAAATCAGCGAAAAATGCAAAATATGTAATTTAGTAATAAGTTATTTCGTTTCATCGTAACACAAAATGAATTTCTGTACTAAACGGCAGTGTTCTAAAGTGAAAAGAAAAAAATGACATTTCCATTTTCCGACATTAAAATCCACCCCTATTTATCATCAATAAAAAAGAATAGAAAAGCGCCAACTGTGACATGCTCTTTCAAATCAATGAATGCTCACAAACGAGTAGATTCTATGAAAAGATTAAACGTTTTAGAGATAATTGTCTATTTTAGCCAATTGTGCACCTATAATTACAAGAATATGAACCAAGAGGAAAAATCAACCAAATATGCATATTAATCTACAAACCATCCAATACTAAGCAGATGTCAAGAATTTTCATTTAGCTATACCCTGAAGCAACAGACAAATATATGCAAAATCCGCTCCCTAGTTATAAATTATGCAACATTTGAATACAGATGAAGAAATTTTCAAGTTATAGAACATGATCAATTCCTCTCACATTATAAATGTTTAAGGATAGAACCTGAGTATAAAACCCAAGAAAAGTACATGGAAACAGAAAGCTAAAAATTGATGAAATAGATCTTGAAGAACTGGAAGAAGCCTTAAGAAAATTAGAAATGAAGAACCTAGTAGAAGCAATGGTATTAAAGGAGAAAAAATAATATATGCTTCAGAATATTTAAAGAAAATGACCTTACTGTGGAAAATTACATTGGCCCAATTTTTAAGAAGGGGAACCATTCATTCTCTAAAAATTATTGAAGAATGAAATATTGCCATGAAGAAAAACAAGTGGGTTTAAGAGGTGTAGGTGGTGCTCTGTTACATTTTTATTGACAATCAATCATTGAAAATCAGAGAATTTAATAAACAGATACGCATACTCATCATAGATTACTCCAAACTTTTGGCACAGTAAATAGAAATACTCATTAATATTTTACATCAAAAAGGTTTACCACAACACCTTATTTCAGTCGTATACAACAATTCTGAAATGTATAACTAAGGGGCATGAGATTAAAATGGAAATTTTAAACCTACATCATTAATTTCTCTCACCAATTCGATAATGACAAAATTGCAATATGATTATTATCAATGAAAGGATTGAGTAAATGAAAATTACAAGCAGTCATTCTAAAAACTGTATCTTGAACTATTTCTAGGCATGCTATATGAATATCCAAGAAAGGATTCCAAGTAGAAGAGGCAAAAAGCTGTTGGGATCTAACAAGAAAAAAAAAAGTTTTCAGGACCCTAACTGATTTCACTTCTTGACAAGTCATTTTTATAAATCTCAACATTTGAGTTGACATACTAATTATTTTATCATAATGTTCAGGGAATTTCATTTCATAACAAAAAAATTAGCACCCAGATCTACTACATAATTTACAGTTGACAATTTTACGACCATTAATTGTAATGAGTATTTATAAAATAATGAAATGAATAATTAAAATGAAATATAAGCCTTCAACCACCCAAATCATTCAACTCAAATATCTGAATATAATAAGTGTGCTGCAATAAATACATCTTTCCATGGCCGTTGCTGGTCATCGAGCTTTTTTTCTCTTTCATGTAAAATATACCAGAAAATTGAGAGAGATGATATTTTAAGTGTATTTAAGCAGTGTCAATCCATGTGTAAATGAGCAAACTTTCGACTTGCAGGATGAAGTTGGAGACTTTCTTGGTAGCATTCTCATGTCACCACGTCCCCCACCACTACGTACCATATCAAATCAAAGTACAAATATAACAGGCCTCACATCAACTGAATTGCTGAACAGTGGGGTAAGAGAACACAAACGGAAGAACACTTCTGAAAGCTCAACTCAACCTGCCAAAAGGTCTCGACCAGGTATGTTTGAATGTTTTTGTTAAATCAATTTTTGTGGGTTTTAAAATGTTGGAAGTGTGTTCATATTAAAGAATATCTAATAGCATTTGCGAAATGTCCTCACTTTCATATGAAATGCAGCATAAGAGCAAGATGTGGAAAATTAACTATATGAATAGTAATTCAGATTAAGTTGCATTGTAGTTTGCTGGTAATTGAAACACAATTTCATTGTTCAATGATAAAGTCTTGTTAGCACGTTCCCTGTTGCCTCATTTTCCCACATAGTATATGCACATTTTAAGCCCTGGACAAAATTCCATTTCTTTGTGTGTTTACTCTTTAACAATCCCAATTAGCACATTCAATATTTGTAGGTAACACACTTCGCTTGTTATGGCACCCCTTTCTTGATGTGGCATGTCTGTCATTTCAAGGGTACTCTCGGGTACATACTTAGGAGACTTCCAGAGCAATTACATATAAAAACAGAGAAATGACTTGGTGTCTCTGACATCTTCATTCTTTGTGTTTTTGTGTTATGCAGTGATGTAAGGCTTTGAATTTGGGGCACTCAGGAACTCTACCTTTCATGTGCATTTTTTTTTGGTTCTTCCTCGTTCTGTTAATGTTGAATTCATGTCTTTAGTTCATGATTAATTTGTACATGTGTAAATACAACAGAACCTTATCTTAATGTATCAAACTTTAACTATCCAATCATCTTCCTGTTTTGGAGGATAATTCCATTAATTTACCCCTGCAAGTTATGTATTGTGAAGTAAGAATTCCCTTACTTCAGACATGTTATTTCCTAGGCATTCCATTGCATGCAGGTATAATAGTGTTCCAAATTACTTAATTTCCTACTTACCTTTGTACAAAAGTGTATGACTATCATATTCCCATAATTTTAATACAGCGTAATCCATCTCAAATGGTGAGAAAAATCAGAAAATGAAAGGATTGCAAAATCCTATATGAAAGGATACAGTTCTGCAAAGCAGTTGTAAATACTTACTATTTTTTTATACAAAGATTATAATTGTTAATTACTTAGTGATGTTTAATATTCATCTTTGTATTAATTTGATACTCATCCATATCGAAAAATAATTCATCAGACAATTTTGATTTTCAAATGGTCTATACTATGTCGTCTTATCTGATCTTCCCTGATCCTTTGAAGAAATGTTGAAATGGTCCCTTGTTTTATTTCTGGTTGCTAAATGTAGCTGCTTCTCATCCCTCTCCAATTCCTAAGTCACACAGTTTTGACTCCTTTTGACAGTAAATACATTACTAAAATAGAATTGTCATACCATAAATATTCCTGGTAATGTCAAAGCAATTTATAAGTTAATACTTGTCCTTTTTCCCCTTCAGATTAAAATTAATTCAGATCTCTCTGTGGAATAGAAAGGGTATAACTACAGAATCTTCTGTAGATGAAAATTCATGGAAATTTGTCATCTTTCGATTTAAAAAATGTTTTAAGTGAAAAATCTAAGATTCCTAGAGAGTGAAATTAATAATAAAAGCATGATATAAAAGCGAGGTACTGTGACGTGTATTTTCAGAAGAGTACTGAAATGATATCTTCGTAAAATAGCTTCATTTTAATTTACGTAAAGTACTTAATTTACCCCAAAACAGGATAAAAATTTGATCCAGTTTTTGGTCTCTAAAAATCGGGAGTTGTTGACCTTTCCTGCATCAAGAAAAATGTTCAATTATAAATCAAAGTTCTTGTGTGTCATTGAACTACCAAACTCCTTAAAATATTGGAGATGATCTGTAAAGATCACATCTTGTAGATTACACTGTGACGAACATAATTCAATATCTTACCAGCTGTGATGGCTTTGTGACAACAACCATTGCCACTGCAGTATCTCTGACTGAGAGGTCGTGGGCGTTGAGTCCTAATAGGGGAAGATTTACACTACATATATGTCCAGAATTCAGCTGTTGCCTAGAGGATAATTCTAGCTGTGTGCAGCTCTGATAATAGTTTTCCATGCTTCTTCCAATCGGGTCAGGCAAATGTTGGAGAAGCACCCTGACAGACAGGTCACGGATCGCATATGATTTTTCCTTTCTCATGCATGTTTCTTCTCTTCCTACACACACTCACTCACTTTCACTCTCATGTACATGTACTACACATCAGACCAGTTGGGAGCTGACAACTTATCTCGTCTAGGGCAGTTCTCTGTTGAGGACAGATACCTGAAGGGGAAAAATTTTGCAGACCACCACCTAGGGCAGCACTGATATTTAGCTTGTAGCGGAGAAGGAACATACACTACACTTGTGGGACTAGTAATTGAAGTAGTTGATGTGCTCACAAACTTGAAATATTTCCCAACTCAAGACCTTAGGTGACAAAAAAAATGATCTTATGGTCCTGTGACATTGTTTTTGAATTGTGCCTGATCAAAGAGTCAAGAAAGAGGTAGTTAAAGTTGTGCTTGCTGATTAGATGCATTTTTCCAATAAATACTTATTATTGAAAGTAAAAATGCAATTTATTTCCTCACTGTGAAACTCGTAAACACCTCATTTATTGAGATTGATTGTGTGCAAGATCTGCAATTATGATGATCGATTGAGAAGTTTAAAAATGAGGGTTGTCTTGTATTCAGGAAAATGTTCCATTTTCAATTTTATCCTCTTTTTAATATATATAATCGTGTGTTCTGATCCTTTCTGATTATGAAAGTTAAAAAAATTATCTTCTCAGTAATATTGTTTCTAGTGCCAAAATTACACCCTTCACATTATTGTAAGGTTTTAGATGGTGCTGCAGAATTTTCGCTATTCGTTCTGAAAATCTTAGGGGAAAAGGATGTCATTATAGGCAAGATGGTAGTTCATAATTGATAAAAGGTAGAAACTTACTTTTATTCATTCTATTGTGTACAGTGTATGAAAGAGAAAGATAATTCTTTCATGTTTGTTTAACAAACAATGACTAATTGGATGTTTCTCGTAGTCTTCGAAATTAGGTTTTGTGTATTTCTTTTGGAACTTAACACTCTAATAATGTAGTTCCAGAGAAATCCATTCAAACAAAGTAAACTGCAAAGGAAGAACTAAGAGAGAACTGACAGACATGAGAATACATAAATAAATATTAGTAAATACAAAGATGCAAGAATGTATTAGGAATAAAATGATAGGATGAGTTCAGAAAAGGAGGGAATGGGAATATATGGTGCAGTGACAATGCAGTTATTTTGCACGGTTATCGGTAGATCAGGCTATGACCCAAGCAAAGAAATACGAATTTGCATTTTAAATATTTTAGTGAAGAATTTGATGATAAATAATTATATAGGCTTATTTAAACAATACTAGTACGGAAACAATCAATAATTTTCATAAAAGAACAAGAAAATTGAAAAGGAATCACTAATATTAGTACATCAAATTGGGAACTCACCAAACTAGTCTTGGTGGCTTATTGCAGTGTTTGAAGAATCTCAACTGTTCTGCAATTTCCGCAATACATGACTAAATGCATCATTCAATCTGTAGGAACTTGTGAGTAAAATAGTGTGGGGCTTTTGAGTACTCCTTAATTCTTCGTCACTTTAACTGTGTTTTAGTTCTTTCACCAGTGCTCTATTAATTGATATGCTTTATGGGGAAAGTTAAGAAAGATATCGTAGTTCAGTTGAAACAAAATACATTGGTTCACACAAATCAAAGATGATCTTTTGACAGTGCAGAAAAGCCAAATCTACCCCTAGTTGTTGAATTTGACAACTAAAATTACCAAAAGATGCAAATGCCACCAACACCAGGCATCAAGCACAAACCTGGCACTTTATGGTCTTTAGTTATGAAGGCGGCTCCTCATATACAGCATTCGGCGAATCCCGAGCAACTGCTTGCTGAATCCCAAGTTGTGTGGATGGATTGCTTGTGATTTGCCAAGCGCCGAACATTTGGTATTTGCCCTACCCACCACATATCGGTCTTTAGGACACATTACAGGGAGCAATCATTTCCTGAACACATCAGCAGTTCGGGATGTGATTCAGCTTACTTCTTGGCAAATACTGAATGTGTGGAGCTGCCTTGAGGTTTATAAGTGTCAAAGCTCTTTCAACAATAAAACGCCAGGCAAACAAAAGCAGCCTGTAAAAATGTTTGGGTTTCTGCTGAATTTTGTAATTTAGAAAATTTCCCCTTACAAAATAAGTAAAAGCTCGTGAAAAATCAGAATATTCCATATTATATTGATTGCACTCCAATGAATTTTAGTTAACACCATCACAAGCGTATGCTCCTCGTCCCTAGTTACACGAACAACAAACGAAAGAATTCTATAACAATCTCAATACAGATGAAACATGTTCAGGAGATTTATTGAAGAGCATGTGGAGAAGTAATTACTAGAAAAATGATCCTTTGTTAGGTGAACACCCTACAAAAAATATTTCAAAAGCCTATCTCGCTGTTTGCTTCAAAAAGAAGGCTGGGGTATTAAACAAAACGTCTAGTGACTGTGAAGAAATTCTATGCCACACCTTTAGGATGGTGGTGATCAAATTAACACATCTGTGGTATAGCATCACAGTGAGTTAAAGATGATAAGGTGTCCCCGTGTCCTTTGGAGTGTTTACAAATAATTTAAATTGATAGTAAATAGCCAGTTTAACATTTCTTAAACTAGATAACCTATATGTGACAGTGAAGTTAGGGTTTATTGTCATCATCTTTAAGAACATCTGTGGCAGTAACTTTTCAGCAACGACCACCCGTCCCATCACTGTATATTTTGCAATCCTCAATAAGAACTATTTGGGATTAGATAAGCTGTAGTTAGTTTCACATAAAGTAATTTGCTGTCAATGAGTAAGAAGTTTGGAAGTAGTAATAATATTTTGTATTTTTTAGGTAAACAAATTTGCTGTAGTGTGTTAGATAATACGTACATTGCAGATGCATATCTTTCCTCTTTATGATGTAGGCACTCCTCTTCATGGATTGTCTGGACCACCTTCTACTCCTGTTTCCTCACCTCTCTCTGGTACTTCTGGTATGTATTGTAAGAAAATTTCAGATTTCCTTTTTCTTCCATGAAAATTAGATACATGTCTAAACTGATCTTAGAGATTAGAGGTTGTTTCTCAATAAAAGTGTTTAGTGGATGAATGAAATAAATCAAAATATCTGGAAAACATTTTTATTCCTGTAAACTATGTAGATATACCTGTAAAATATTTGATTTTCTTGTCAATAGTGTCGTAGACTCCTTGTATCAAAAAAAAAAGTGTGTCCACAAATAATTACATGTTAGTCCACATTGCATGCACTATGCATATGTATTGTTACATAAATATAAATGATAATTAAATTGATCATTGCAGAAATCACGACCATTGATGAATTATATAAAATTATCATCATATGATCATTTGATCCTATGATCATATGATCATAGGATAGGTCAATATGGATAAAGAAACAGTTAGTTATGCTAACGTTTTGAAATATTTAATTTCGTCATCAGGGCTCGAGTACAAAGACAAATCAACAATGCATGGGGACAATAAACAAACAAACAAATTTAATTAATTCATTAACACTACACACCAAAAAAGTTACTAAGACAAATAAAACACCAAAATATAGAAAGGACACACCTTACTAATACACGTTAAGGTCCAGCTTCATTTCCAGCCCCCACATCCAACTCCACAAATGAATGAGAACTGAGTGAATTGAGAGAACCATGCGCTACAGCCACTTCATGTCATGCCACCATGTGTTTCCGGTCAGGTACATGTTGTCTGGTTATATTGTTAATTTAACATGTACGTGACTGGAAACCCATTATGGCATGACATGGCTGTAGTGTGTGGTTCATTCAATTCAACCAGTTCTCCTTCATTTGACGTTCGTGCTTGATTCAGATTTGTTGCACGATAGACCCACATGCTTTAGCAATTCCATGTGGATTTTTGTGAGGTGGTTGGAAATGAGGCTGGGCTTTAATGTGTATTAGTAAAGTGTGTACTTTCTATATTTCGGTGTTTTGTTTTTCTTCCTTTATAAACTTTTTTTAGTGTTAATTTATTTAAATTTGTTTGTTGTTCTCAAGCATTGTTGATTTGTCTTTGTACTCTAGCCCTGATGAAGAAATTAAATATTTCAAAACATTAGCATAACTGATTGTTATCCATATTGACCAATCCCACTAACTAATTGAAAATTAACCCAATAACATGCATGGAAGAAACATTTTCTTGTGCAATAACTAAAACCCAAAATACCGTATTTACCCGAATATAAATGTTGGCAGTACAATAAACTGCTTGTCAGTAAAACTATCGTGCGTGTCTATTATAGTTCATTATATTCACGGTCTTATTGTGGGCATCCAATGCAGATTTACTGAGCAATTCAAACTGATATATTTGAATAGGCTGGTAAAAGAGAATTCTCAAACGAATGGCATTGTATCAAATGAAACGTAATATAAAAATGTATGTTGAGATTTTGTGACACATTGCAAGTTTGGGGAGGCTGCGAGGAATCTTGGTTCGACACCCGGCAAATGCAAAACTGCATTTTGAATTGTTGAAGAAACAGAGGGCATCAACAAGTGTGTCAAAATCAGGGGACACAGAAGGGAATTTTCTTAGGTGGATTCTTATGAAAGACTAAGAACAATACAAAGTCAATGGACAAAACTTGAAGAGGGGCCCAAAAAGTCAGATGTCACAGCATGGAAGGAAGATCAAAAAGAAAGAAACATTGATACACATGAAAAAGATGAAGATAGTGACAAAAATCATGATTATAGTGATTTCAAGGAACAAGAGAATTATAGTTCAGTTATAAATCTTAATATTCTAATCAGTAAGATAATTTTCTAGTCAACAAGACAATTTGTAATTTTATTTTCACTAAATAGTAAGAATTGGTTAAAAATTTTAAAAATTCTTAGGATGCCTCATCAATATCTGTGGTTGTCTGTAATTCAGGTAAATACGGTACTTTTACTTGCTGCTTTCTTATACAAGTTGAATTAAAGAGTATTGCATCATCATATCGAATTATTTCTATATCTGATCTGAATTTATTTTAGTAGAGGTAATTTGTAGCTTTATTATTATTATTATTATTATTATTATTATTATTATTGTTGTTGTTGTTGTTGTTGTTGTTGTTGTTACTACTACTATTATTATAAATACATTATAACATTCAAATTGAAATTAACCTGACTGCTAACATAAAGGTTAAAAAAGATAGTTTGATGTAAAACAGATTCTGTTTAGCAAGCATTCCTGCTGCTTACTGACTTCCTAATTCCATGCAATGTTTAATAAAACTCATTCAGACAAAATATTGTTTGAAATATTGGCAAAGTGCAAAACTACAAGTTAATATATAATTTGTTATTGTACTTTAGGTCATTTTTTAAACAACTATTCAACTATTTGTTTCAATATTTGAATAGAAATTTGTGAAGAATAAAAGTTGGTCGTTTATTTACTATATCAGGGTTTATTAGATCATATTTCCAAATTGATAATTTAAAAAAATAATATTTTGATAATCTTCTATGAATCCTCGGTAGTTTTGAAGTCGCTGTTAGCAATGAATTTTAAGAGAGCATGTTGGGATTTGTGGGTTATTTTAGAGATTCAATTTTGTTGTTGTTGCTGTTGCTTCTTTTGTCTTTACTATTTCCTGAACCTTCTAACCTGACTTACTGAAATTGAATGCCATTGAACTGTGGGCTCTAGAGCATAATTGCCCAGACTTGTGACAAGCATGACTAACCACTCAAAAGTAAGGAGAGGAGAGGTTTTTGTGATTTTGTAAGTTTGGATATTTTGAACCCTGAATTTAAAATTTGATGTAGTTATTTATAACTTTGTTTGAAACTGGTGATTGGCCATATCATTATATAAGTATTTTTTGCACTCCAATATTCATGAAAACTCTTATTTTAGCCGCAAGGCAAAAGGCAAGGGGATCATCACAGAAGAATGCTCATTCTACTCCTTCGACTCCGGATGCTAAATGGAGTGCTCCTACCTCAGCATCAAATTCACCTCAGCCTGTCAGTGTATCTGATCAGGTAAGTGTGCTTTCTTTCTTCAAATAAAGCCGGTAAAATGAAAGCAACTGTAGTTATTGATATTGCTGCTGTTGCCCTTATTTTATGTTTATTATTAATTGATTTGCTCTTATTTTGTACTTTCGACTCCAATTGTAGTGAACTTGGATATAGTAAATCCTCGGTTATAGTGAACTTTAAAGGCTTGTCCGTTTCACATACATTACAAATAAGCATAAGAAGATTCGGTTACAGTGAACCTGAACCTCAATTATAGGAAATACAACGACCTGGAAATTAATTCCCTCCTGGAAAATAATATATCGCCTCAATGCCACAAATTCCAACACTAGGCAGCTGGAAAAAAATATCAGCCAGAGATATAATCAAAGAAATCTCCCCTGAGGAGAACCTAGATATAGCAGGGGCAGATAGAGTGGGGACCTTACTGATGACCTAATGACACTGTTTCTAGTTTCATGTTACATGATATTCTGCGGGCTGTATTCTACGTAGGCGATAGGAAATGTATGACTGTCAGAGTCCCACATCCTCCCAATACCTGCTATGAAGCGCAAAAAAGTGATCAGTTTTATTAGCTGCTACCGAAAGGATCTCATATGTTATTAGATGAGTAAGGGCCTTCAAAGAGTGGGGCTCCAACTGAGCCAAGACTGCATTACAATACATTGAGACAATGGACTATGCATCCTAAGTATGATGAGAGCACGAACTCTTACAGAAGGATCTATGAAATTAGTAATAAAAAATATATGAAGCAAACTATTGAAAATAATTGATTTTTTGAAGGACAATAAAGGTAAATTCACTACAACCTGAGTTGACTGTATTTAGATAAATTCATATGATCGACTTTTTTCTTCTTTTAATAGAGCCTTACTTACTTATAAGGTAATTAATCTTACCTTTCAAGTGTTCAAAATTGGAATTGTTGGTAAAAAGGCATAAGGCTCATTCATTTGCTTGGATCAGTGAAGTGGTCCAAATTTCCAGTTAAAATTCATTTTTGCAGTGATTTGTAATGTATTCTTCCACCAGCCAATAAGGTCTTGGAAGTGTCAGTTCAGTGCATGCCATTTGAGAAAGTCCTGCATTTCGAAAGTAAATGGAAAGTCCACAATTACCAAATATCAATGAACCTGTTATTCATTTTGATAACATTTTAAATTAAACTTGCCACAGACCTACTTGTAAGCAAAGAAAAATTCATGTAAGTAATATTTTTTCAACCATTCTAGCAATGTGAATAAATTGTTTTGAAAAGAACATTGTTTAATTGGAAGAATGACAAAATAATATGGAGTATCACAATCCCAGCCCAAGTTAGTCAATGTTTATGAAATTAATCCAAAATGTTTCTGCACATTACTCATCAACCAAGGCTCTCCAAAATGATTTAGCAAAACGAGTGTCAAAATAATATATCTCATGAATTGACCCAAGGACAAATGCTTCTCCTCATTGGCTAGAAATGGTCCATTTTCAGTAATGTTAGACCCAAAAGAAGGAGTGCAATAATTGTAAAACTGTTTGATTTGTAATTTTTTTATTGGTTGTAAACCCATTTCCTTCTTTTTCAGCCCATCAGTGCACCTTCAGGAATAACAGTGAATATAGGTTCGTTGGGCAGTTTGACTCCTCTTGGTCCTCTTCGCCTTGCACAAAATACATCTTTGCCTACTGCTACATCTCTGGCTGCAGCTTCTAGTGCTTCTGAGGGGACAGTGGATTCTATTACTGCCAGAGGGCGGGGAACATCCCTCACCATTCAAGGGAATCTCATATCATCTGTGCAACAAGGAGTCTCTGATAGAACAGTAACTCAAACTGGGAGAGCGGCAAGCTTAGGAAAAGGATCTTTACAATTGCAAGGCAAACAGTTGGTTGGAAGAGCGATTGGCAAAGCAACAGAGACTGGGACTCTTACATCGTTATCGTCCTTGTTACAAGGCACCCCAGGAACTCGAATTATGGTGTCATCATCGTCTAGCCTCCTGCTGACTCCTTCTCTTACTACAACTACCGCTGCTGCTGCAGTTGCTGATCAACAAATAAAAGGTACCGCTAGAAAACGTAGATATACTCGATCATCGGTAGTGTATCGGTAGTGACAGAGAACGTTTTTATATCTGTTTTGTAGCGGTATATATTTTTTTGTAGTTAATTTTGGAAAACATACATTTTCCTTTATTATTTTCATTGAAGAAACCAAGTGAAGTATTCTAATTGGTGTGTTTCTTCCATTTAGTTCTTGGAAGTGATGAGCATGCCCAAGACTCAATATCAGCCCCAACTCAGACTGCGGTGACTAATCCTCGAGTTCGCACAGCAGCTGGGAGAATGTTAGACCTTTCAAAACTAACTGTTTTAACGCCATCAACTAGTGGTGGCAAAAATGTACTGAGTGCTTCAGGGTCCGGTAATGTAGTGATGCTTACGGACTCATCCAGGACAACACGACCTGTGAATTCAGGTCCCCTATTAGTTCCTGTTTCAAGTGTATCTCCTTCCCCTTTTACAATTTTGCCATTAGCTAGTAAAACTACTAAAGCATCAACTGATAGAAACACTGTGCCAAGATCATTCACTGTGATACCAAAAATCTCTGTTCCCTCCTTAAAGCTAAATCAATCTACTGGCCAACAGGCAGTGACAGTATCTAGCGCAACCAAACTTGCATTTCCTTCATCCACACTAGTACATGACCAAGACCAAAGTATAGAAATGATTCCAGAGACAAGTGATGTGGATAAAAGAGGTGAAGAATTGACACCAGATAAAATTCTTGAGCTTCCAATTATTTTTGCCAAAGATGGGGATGACACTTTATTCACAGATAGTAAAATGGAAAGTGATTCATTAAATACTCCTACAGTTTTACCAATTAGCTCTTGTGGATCTGTAGACTCTTCTCCTACAGTCACTCTTGGAGACACAATTTCATTTCCTTTAGATGATAGTGATTCAGAGAAAATTTCAGAAATGAAACCTGTCAGTGCTCAGAGAGCTGTGCCAAATGTTTTCATAATTAGAAGCAAGAATGCTAATAAAGAGAAACTGCAGCCACCAGCAGGGAAAAGAATTCTTCAAAAGACTCATCGTTTCCTTAGAACCGTGGATAAATTGCCTACTCAAAACCAGCCTAGCCAGAATCAAGGATCTGGAATAAAATATACCAAAATTATCCTGACCAACAGAAATTCCTCTCTCAAAGTTGGTGATATTGAAACAACTGGAAGTAGTTGTGGATCAATGAAGAGAGAACAGGTTAAGACTGTTACTTCTGAACCTGTGAGTAGTGAAACAATTCATGGTGGAATAATTCTTGATGATGAGGATGATGAATTTGACATTATGTGAACATTATAGATCTGAACAGCTAGTATGTGAGTAAATGTACCCACATGTGGCCTTTTTTGTATAGTGTTGTAGATTTCTGTGTAAATACGTTGTCTTCAAGAGAGAAGACTTTTCTGTAAAGATTGGGCTCTTCCATGAAGTGAAGAGCAGCCTAAACACAATTGTTTTGTGTGAGTATAAAGGAGGTTGTTTATTACACTTGTGTTTTGTTTTTATTTAATCCTTGGTTGTCCTGTATTTTTCCTCTTTTTTTTTTTCCTTTGTATTTATGTTTTTTGTAGAATATCAGAGTACAATTGTGATAAAGTAATATTTGACTACCCGTATTTGTTTTCCATTTGCTTGTCTTGTCTATTGAGTAATGTTGGGTAATACTATTGTACACGCACATTTTATTGAGCCCTGGAATACCTACCCCTACTTTATTCACATTTGTTGAATTAAGCATAAATGATAGCAGTGTGCGCTGTTGACTAAATCTGATTTTCAAAAATGTTTGCTCTTATTCAATAGAAACTTTTAAACATCGAAAAACAAATCAGTTATGTTTTAGTAGTCATGTTAACAAAATATACAACCCTCCCACCCCTCTCGTATTTAGTGAAACAACGGCTCAAGAAAACGTGCACGGGTAACAGCAAACTAGCGCACAAATATTTACGTTGTATGCATGGTGTGAGGAAATACACACCATGGTGGTACGGCAGTGCAGTAAACCCTGAACGCGAATTCCAACGAAACGAAATGATCGAAGTTTGTGTTGTAAACATTCGTGTTATCCGATTATTATTATTATAAATTACTGTAATCCCATGGCGGGACCTCTAGTTCTGTTCGTGTTTAGCGAGCTTGTGCGAGGGTTTACTGTATTACGAAGTGGTCGAGTGGGGAGAACTTCACATTTACCGCGCAAAAGAGCGCAAGTGCTGCGCTCTAGAAGCAGAAACTGAAACTGGATACTACTGGATTCATGTGTCCTGTTCGTCCTACATTCGTGAAAGTGAATGGTAGTGTTGGTTATTTACCACAATTTTCAATTAATAATGAATGTAATTTGGCATATTAATAAGAATGAGAAGTAGTGAGAGATGTCAATTTGGGGTAAGTAAAAGGTTTATAAGTCACTCCCTCTGGTAGTGACTGGAATTTCTTTCATTCATCGCAATAATTTACTACTTTTCGTTTTGGATAGTGCACTTGTATGTTGCAGGACTCAAAATTCAGCTCATATTTACCTCCGAAATGAACCCGATGTGAACCAATCGTAGCTTGTGCCCGATGCTGTCCCCGTTACCATCTATGGGCATTGCGGGAGTGCGTCTTGCACGCACAGTGGCGGCGGCGGCGGCACAACAAAACAACACCGGCAACGCGCGTGCCACAAGTGCATCGAAACAGCCCGTTTATTGTTGCGAGCGTTCGTCGGGAAGACGACATGCGAAGCGACCGTGTGCCGAGGCGAGAGAAGACGGAATCGTAGCCCAGCGTCGCGCAGCGGTCTCGGCAGCGCGCTTCGGCGTCGGAGACCACGCGGGGCGAGTGGTGGGGGCAGGGCGGCGAGCCAGAGCAGCGCGTGTCGCTGAGCCGGGAGGTCGCCGTAGCGAGCGCTGCGCTGCCAACAGTCGCGTTCTGGAGCTGTGAGCGAGCGCACTTCGCGTGGCCGCCCCTCGCCGTCCGGTGAACGGTGTGTGATTCATTCGCGACGAGCGTCTTTCGTGTTTCTGGTTTTCCGCTTGGAAAATGAGGTTGTCTTCCGCGTGCTTGGCGGCTTAGTTTAAAAAAAGAAATAGTAATAACGAGATTGGTTTGTTGCGCGGTGGACTTGTGAAATTTTATGAAGTGAGAGTTGTTCCTGGAAGAAAAGACGTCAAGATGATGGCCGATGGGTACCTCGTCGGCGACGGGTCTTGGAACCTGCGGGTGTGCGTCACCAACCTGCAGGTGGAGCGAACGCTGCGCGTCAAAGGCGACCTGCACATCGGGGGAGTGATGCTGAAGCTCGTCGAGGACTTAGGTGGGTGGTTGTTGTTTACTTTGACATTGTACACCACGTGAGTTTTTTCCCCTTACGTATGTATTATCTTTACACAACATTACACATGAGGTGTAATACAAGATTTTTGTGACAGATGCGAAAATAAAATTTCGTCAATTTCAGTTTCAAGGCATGTCGCTAAGATTTTAGTAAAGGCTTTCCTGTTTTTAACTTATTTTATTTCATATTGCAGAAGAATTTTTGCATGATTGTTTAAGGTAAATTATTTTTTTAATTTGCATGTTTCTATGTAACAGTAAATAACTCCAAGAGTTTCCAAAATTAAGTATACACATATGTGGATGGCATTGTTATGATGGCAAAGTACAGGCACGTGTTCATTGTGTAAACTGTAAAAAGTAAACAAGGAAAGGTACACTTCATGTCACTTCAAAAATATTATTAGACAGTGTTATATTCCACATTGCCCCATACTCTGTCTGCAATCATTTAATTAATACGTTTCCTAACTCTTCCGAACTTCGGTGTCTTCACAGCACGGTCCACAAGTTTCCATCTCCTTAAAAACCGGCATTCACTTTTTGTTCGATTTGCCATTCAGTGAAGACATGACAGTGCTGCCACTTTGACAGGGCAATCGTGCGCTCTTCATTTCCCCGCTACACCACGTCGCGAGTCAACTCATCAACGTGCACTCCGTGTTCCTTTCCACACGTGGTCTCGCGCCAGGCGAGTCTTCTCGCCCACTTCACGTAATGAACACGGTCGGCGTGGCGGTCGCTTGCAACCCTCAGGCCCCAGCACGCGCACGGCGGTACGGTACGACGCGGCGCGGCGCGGAGTGTCAATAGCTGACATCCGGTCCCCGACCCTTGGCGGAGTGAGCGAGGGCCCGGGAAAGGAAGGTGGAGTGGAGTGGCCAGTTACCTGCCCGTCGTCTGCCTGCACGCGCGTCGCTTGAATGGCGTTGGGCCCGCCGAGAACCGACGTCTTAGCTAGAGAGTCTTCGCTGTTTTGTGTACGTAGTCGGGAGGTAGTCGATGATAAAAATGGAGTATGTTTCATGAGGCCGTATTCGTATGGTGAAGTACTGAGAAGTAATTCTTCGCGTTCCTGAGTAATAATAAAGGATTATTTAGAAGAATTAAATTGGATAGGCCTATGTGGTGGTATGTTTAGGCATTTAGGAAATTGTTCGTATTGATGTTCGTTTCGAGACATATAAATATGTGAAATAACATTGTGACATTGATACAAGCGATGGTTCAGCTACTGAGCATTTTTAGTGGTCGAGTCAAGGAAGTTTTTTGTTGTAGTACTACTGTTGTTTTTTTCATTTATTCTCATGTTTCAGTGTGTATGTATCGTCCAGATTTTTCATAAATGAAGTTGAACGTTATTCTGGAAATGAGCTGCAAATCATCGTAACTCGATTTCATTATTGTCTATCACCCCAAAAATAGTAGAATAACTAAGTGTAAATAGTAGTAAAAGAGGTTTCTATTACAAATTCTACGAGAAAGTAGAGGCGGCTGGGGTCCTGACCGAACCTCTGGAGGAATCAGAACATTCAATCTTCAAGGAAGATGCTGTAAATAACTTGCCCTCTTTTCTATGGTTGAACAGATTTAGTATTGCGGTATGAACTGAGCTTGCTTTGTAGAGTATTTCTTGATGCTGTTAGCTTAGCCGAAAAATATTTACACTTTTTACAGCGGACAATTCAGCTCCTCTAAAATGTTGAGGCGTGTTATTAATAATCATACAAATATTGATGTAGTTAATTACTGGTTCATAAGAAACCATATTCCTGCGTTCACCCAGAGTGAACAATATACCTTGTTTTCACGTTCTGCTGGTAATATTTTTGTCAAGCACACGTCGTTACATTAATATTAGACAGTCTCAACGCCTTGGAGGTCTGGCAAATTGCCACGTTGACGCGGGAGTTTTCTACGTAGTGATTACGCTATCATATCAACGCGCTTGAGTCTATATCCACTTGCCCTTGACCGCCTATCAGAACTTGCTTGCTATCCGGCTTGATTTCACTAATGGTGAGTTCTGACAGGTGATAAAACGTAAGTGCTTCCGTGTAGGATTTATGAAGTGAAACGAATTGCAGTTCTCTGTATTTTTACCTTAAAGCGTGAGTCTTTACAATAAATATTTACTCTAGATCTCTGCCAACAGCCCGTGGCTTAAAGCCAAATTGCGAGGGGAAAAGGTGGTTCTAGCCAGTTGACGTGTTACGTTATTCGACAGGTTGGCTAGTGATGTTGGCGAGTGTTTTCGTGTAAAAAAAATGCTTCGTTTTGGTGGACGTCCTGGTTCGCAGTTCGGATCCATCTTCGAAATGCGAAAAAGTGTTTCTACTTCACACAATACATTTTCTGACACACCGATAACTGCATCGATAGTCCTCCAAGAAAATCGTAGTATAGTATAAAGAGAGTACTGAAAACAAATACCTTATGGTTTAGTTTCGCAGTTGAATAATAAGTCATTTTAGTATAAATTATGTAGGACTCTTATGTCGCATCTGGTATTTGAATTTGAAATATTTCTTTGAACACATTAGTTAAATGTGATCCAAACACGTCATTTTTGCGTAAAAATGGAGATATTTGTATTCAGAAATTTTTAAATAAATTTCCATGGTCACATATTTTCTCTCTGGCGTTAAATTATTTTGAATATAAAATGTTCAGTATGATTTTGAATTTTTCATTTTACTGTTTAAATTTTACGTGGCCAACGAAAATGTGGATATGACATACCCTAAAACAATAGAAAAGGAATACTAGCTCCCGAGTTATTCAATTTCTTAGTAACACTATGTTCATCGTAGTATATTAGTGTCATGCCCCAGTGTCGGCATTTAAGACATATATGTATATGTTCATCTGTTACGTCGTTTTGGACGCCGTCGGATTTCTTACGCTCCCAAACAGAGATTACGTTTTGAATGAAAACGAAACCTAAACGTCTCGAGTCCCTTTCTCTGCTGTGCCTTTACTGTTCCGGCTTCACTTTTTCGTATCCCAGAATCTCTTTCACGGTCCACTACCGCTTTCCTTTCTCCTCTCGCTGCTATCTGAAGATCGTGCGATTGTTCCGTTCGAGTCCCTTCCCACAGCGTCTCCGCGTCTCCCGTTTGCTGAGGAGCGGACGAGCTTTCCGTTTCTTGGCGGTAAAGTGATAAATGTCCACGTGTATGATGTTTGTCCCGATTGCCATGTGCGTTCGTGGGCAAGTCATCGTAGAAAATAGGAATTGCAGTTTTTTTGAGCTACGTACGTGATACGTTAGTCCGTGGAGTTTTAGTATTCGCGGGTTAGGAGTCACAGTTACTAGTGCTTTTTTTTGTCGCAAAGTATAGTCGTCAAAATGTCCCGGACCCTTGAAGTTATTTGAGGAAGATAATATCACTAGAATATACTTACCAAATATTGTGCCAAAGAGACAGAGTAAATAAGGGATTATATTTTTTTAGAAGGATTGGGCCGACAATGTACATTTGTGAAGCTAAGTAACTTCATGATTCCTATCAGCCATTGCAGTAATCCGTTTAGGGCTGTGAATGCACTAAATGTTGATGTGTCTTGAAGATTACTTATTCATGTTGTGAAAATGCTACATCTGGTTCCCACTCTGTGAAATACTTCTCGTTTTAGTAACAAGTGCAGCCAACGGCTCATAAACTCACCCTGCAGATTGGATGTGTAGAAAATGAAATAATAGGAAGCGGATAACATCGGTTTTATAATTCGATGTAACTTATTTCTCGAGAGTGGATTCAGAGATGCGAGAGAACATTGTAGATCTTTGAAGACAGTTAAGGGAAAGAGGGAGTCTTATTGCAACAAGAAAATTTCAAATATTGCTTTGCCTGTTTCCTAGTGACACTATTTTAGTCTCTTCGTCCGGGCGTACGTGAGTCAGCTACTCTCTATATGTGAATATTATAGCTGCAATTGGTATACCAGACGTGAACAGTCTTGCAGAAAGCTCGATTTGGAGAACGAGAAATTTTCAGTCTTAGCATCAGGGGCAGATCGAGAACCTATTTCGGCGGCGGATCAATTATTTTTAAAATTAAAATGTAGCTAGAAATTTGTGTGGGATGTGAAGCAAGCAATAAGTGATTGTTCGGAATAAATCGAGTAAAATTGCCGAAAAGGAATGGTGGCTTTAGGAAGAAGCATTACCCTCCATCTACTGGATTCGCCACGACCCCACATTCTGCCCCTACAACAGTACTAATGCTGATCATCGATCAGGAAGCTAGAGTATTTAAGAGTCCAAAGGCGATCCGCATCCATATTGTAGTATCACCGCTTCTCGCCCACACATCGTTGATATTAGAGTAACACTATCCCTTGCCTCAGATGATACTGATGTCGTGGTATTTCCTTCGACTTTCCTCGTATTTCTGATATGGAGTCGCTTTATAACTTTTTCAGTTAAATTTTAATCATAAATTAATATAGTACACGGTCACTGTCGAATTAAATTTTCTAGCTCACTAATTTAATTGTTAGAGGTTACTAAACCGGCTTTAAAACCTGTTTAAAAACACGGTGTTTGGTCGACATATGCGTAACATCGATGGTTTAATTTTGAACATCCATGTTAGGCAACACCGATCTTTTGTTGCGAATATCGCATCGTTATTTGGGAAAGGGTGCGCCCGGGGTCGGCGCCAGCTGCGAGGGTGTCGGGTGTCGCGCTGCGCCTGCCAGACGCTCTGCCGCCGCCGCCGCCTGTTTGCGGTGTTGGGTGCGCAAAGCCGATTATCGAGGTCGCGTTCCCCGAGGGCGCCCTCGGAGGAGAGAGAGAGAGAGATTCGCGCCGGAGAAACTTGCTGTCGGGCGGATGCTGGGCGGCGCGCCGCGGCGGGCGTCTCGCTTTACCCGCACTTTGTCGCGCCGGCGCTCGCTCGCTTCGGGGTCACAACAAGGAAGGAGGAGGCGGGGACCCAACGCCATCTGGTCGTCGGGTGAGATAAGAGGGCC